TTTTTTTTTTTTTTTTTTAGTTAGGTTAGTTGCGTTTGTTTATTCGTGAATGTGGTGATTTATTGACTCAATCAATATACCAGTCCTAAGGTTTCAGTTCATGAGTTATCATGTGCCAAATACGTGTTGAGTAACTATGTTTCTATGCACACAAAAAGAACTGTTAATAAACCTCACAGGAAAGCAGCGGAACAGGCATGAAATATAGTTTCTTTTGAAGCTGTAGCTTGTACACCTAAATGTTTCCAAAAAAGTTAAAGAGTTTATTGTAAAAGAAATAAATATATTGGGAAAATTGTACGCTATAATAATTTTAAAACTGATTATAGCATTAATTCTGTATGTTGAACGTGGTACTGTTCGATATATTTCTAAGATGAATCGTTTCGTTATTATCAAAAATAGAATAATAATTTTTCAGGAAATATATTGTATACGCAGTTCAACTGTGACGCCATTTTGGTCAGTGAAACACGTGTTTTTTCAGTGACTCAAGTCAAATTTCCTAAAAATTCCTCAGGCTTGTCATTGTTCTTGGAAGCTCGGTATCGACAACTTTCGCTGACTTTAGTAATATGCATCTCACTTCGGGTAGGTGTTTTATAGCGGACACCTTTACGAGCGTACCACAGATACAAGTACGTGAAGTAAGGTAAGCTAGTTGTCAGGCGCAACCTCGCACTCGTACTCGGGCTGTTCCGTTTTCTACAAGATCCGACCAATTTTTTGATTTACTTCCGACCAATTTGTGATTCTTGTGTGTGTGTGTTTAAACCTCACATGTTTTTATTTTAACACCCTTACATACGTCATAATGTAGTAATTATTCGCTTCGCTCGTGCACTGTCAGGGAGTATGCGCCGTTTCTTTTGATCACTTTTCAGTGTTCTACTACTGTCGTGTTTCCGACAAAGATCTTGTAAGAAAATACACGGGTTTGGTCTACAAGCTTAATGAGTTAAATTTAAAACTTTGAAAACAAAGAAAGTTGCAACCACAATTTAAATGTTTCATGTTTGTATAGCTTCATCAAATTAGAACTCTCACAAATAAGTTTTACGTTACCTTTTGTCATGAAATATTTAAGTTTTTGATGTCAGAATGGAAAGTTATCAAATTCATATCTTTGTATTTTGGTACACTTTTTTTTTATTTCACATACGTAAAATCAATATAAAGTAAATAAATATAAACACAGTATTGGAAGTAACTATGGAAACGGGGAGGGAAAATGGCAAACACTACGGGAATACCACCCATTTATCACGTGAAATAAACTTAACCAAAGTCACTTGCATGTTTATAGCTTATGTTGTAATTGGTTGTCATCCAACTAATCAGAAAAAAAATAAAAGTTCAGACAGTCATACTATGCCCAGTAGTAATAGAGTGATTCTAGTCATGGCTCTCAGCAAATAAAAATCAAAGTTTTTTCAGGTACACGACTCATCGGCCGAAGATCCATTTTCCAATAAAAAAATAATCCCAAGCATACGGAAAATGTGGTGAAACAATATCTTGGTGGTAAACAGTCTTAAACTTAGATAAATGATAGGTGGCGCTTACACAGTATAAAATTGATATTAATTTAATAATGATACATATATATATATATAAAGTTTCTCGCTAGAATATTTACAAAGTAAATATCAATATTTTAAGTACAGACATTGTCTAGTTTTCAGCTTTATAAAAAAAATATACATGACGGATATTCGTTTTCCACACATTGACCATTGTTCCATACATAGGAATGAAGGAAAAACAAAAACAATCTCCAGTTTTTCATTTTCCAGTTAGCTTCACTGCAATGCAAGTAATGAAACTACACTTATATTCACATCATCCTATTCATACAAAAAAAAAGCAGCTATCACAGAGCAAGTCATGACGACCAACCGAGTTTGTAATCCTAAAGAAAGCCAACTCGAGGGAATGACAGATTTACAACAGACGCTCAAACAGAGTTGTTACTCACTTTTATCTTTCATTTATTTTAAAATGTTTCAAAGAAATTTAAAAAGTAATCTTTACTACTTGCAAACAGGATGATACACATAACTTTGCGACTTGGACTATTTTTATACGTTAGTGAAAGACTTAAAAGAGGCTTACAACCAGTGATACGAAGGTTAGGGTTACCAATAAGACTTGTACAAAAACCAGGCAGTACCTTAAAACAAATATTAATATGTTCTACATACAATCCAAATAATATTTGCAAAAAGAGAGAGAGAGAGAGAGAAAGAAATGATTCATTGAAGATACAGAAGCAGGAAAGAAATGGACAATAAAAAATGTTATTTATGATTTTTTTTACATATATGTATTTTATATTCTGTATCTCCTATCACGTCATTATTCAAATGATTTTCACAGTGATTTTAGGCCGCACGCCTACTTTCGTGTCGTTAGACATTGATTTTGCTACAGAGTTTCTTTTTTTTTACGTTAATAGAATTATCCGCGTGACTTTATTCCATTCTCTCGATTAGTTAATAGAACAAAATTAAAAGTATATGTTCCCCGATGGAAGAGCGGTAAGTTTACGAAATTACAACACTAAAATCCGGGGTTCGATTTCTCGCGGTGGACACAGTGAATAGCCCTGTGTGACTTTGTTTAAAAAAAACAAAAACAAATAACGTGTATAGTCTGATAAGCATTGTGAGTCTAACATTGTGAATAGTAGGTCGCTCTGGATCTGATGGTCGTTTTTCCAAAAGATATTAGTAACCCTGTGGCAAACAAAGCCATGAACCCACAAACAATGTGGTATATAAATGTCAAAAACAAAAACGATGGCGTTCTGAAACGCATCAGTAATCCCCGATCATTGAAAGGCATATTTGGTTTTACAAGCTTTTTAGAAATTGAATTCATTCTTTCAATACATACACTATTCCGTTAGACCTCCAACCCATAGCACTAAGTTATTCCGATTATAAGAAAGGAAAAAGCATCGTAAGAACCTTACCGGTGCATTAAAAGTTTATTTGGAATATTAACAAGTTAAACATAGTGTTCACACCTTTGTTTAATAAAATCTATTTGGGGAGGAAAAAGGAAAATATTTTTATGATAATTAGGTATTCAAAGCCTCGAATTGCACCCCAAAAATAATATGTTAGTTAAAACTTCTTAACCTTTATATCCACATATATATATATATATGTACGTACCTGTTTTTGTCGGCTCAGCAGGGGGCAGCACAGTAGAATTTGGTTCTTCTATTGCTACTGCTTTGGACGATCCACATCCCATTACGGTTATAAATTTATGCAAGCAAATCTTAAGTCGAGAATTTTGTAATTTCTGCAGATTCTTGAGTAACAAAACTTCTAAAATTTTGCCGTATTATACCTGTGGAATAAGATTTAAAAGTTAAATGTAATAGTATAAAAATGTGTTTTCATTTAGATATTTATTGATATTGCTACACTGAAATAACACAAACCTGAAAACTTTTAATACAGACACTATATGTGCATAAAGATTACAATTATTACATTATTAATTTTAATTATAACAAAACGTTGTGCTTTTATTGTTTACACCTAATTCCGTTAAAAAGCGTTCTAAACCTGCATCACTGATACGATTAAAAGGAAGACCTTCAAACAACATATTGAATATTCTTTCAAGCCTTTGATTCATAGCAGTTTGTATATCTTTAACGAGAGCCGAATTCGGTATAATAGATTGGTTCGGGATCAACGTTTCGACACACTTGCATTACCACTCTCTCATAGATATTTAAAGTAAAAATAATGGTATAGAATATTTTGAAATCATATTTTTGTAGTACGAATTGTATATATATGTATATATATCCATTACCAGAAATATAGTTTTGGTTTAAAAAACTGTGTTCTATATGGTTTTCAAGAATATATATATATATATATATATATATACCATTACTTACTACCGTTGTTGATAAGATGTGAGGGGAAGAACCTCGGGTAATGAAAACAGATTGCAGGGGACATGTCCCCCCGTGTAAATTACGTATATGTACATTACAGCTAACAATACAGTGTTGTCATGTAAAATATAATCAGATAAGGGTAAAAACACACAGACGCTATTTTGCTTGACATGATACAGTGTACACTTCCACTGTCTATTACTTATTGTACAGTGTAAACATTAAAAAGGTAAAATCCAGTTTTAATTTCTACATGGTGAAAAATGAGCAGATATAGTCTACTATGTAGGTTTGCTCTAAAATATAACAACCCGACAATGTAAATATCAAAGACAAGCATACGATTGTATCATACTATACATGGGTGTTATCATAGCATTGTAAGTTTGGTAACCGTTCGCTATTCTGTAATTAAAGTGAAAAAAAAAATTATACCACTTATTAAACCTTAAACCAGATCCAACGACTTAAATGAGGCAATAATTAAATTATTGTTATTATTTATGGATAAATAAAATAGTTGTCATGAAAAAAAACAAAAAACATTTACTTTGTAATATCTTTTGCGTGAGGTTTAATAACCATAACTTTTGTTTTTGCAAACCATGTACAGAGACATCATACCGAAAAAAAAAAACTTACCATTCTTGTTTTAAACAACCGTTATTCCAGTAACACGGTAAGCCGATTTCAACCCTTTCGAAATTTATCAACACAGAATACTAAATTCGAAACACAGGACGCACTAGTCCATATTATCACATGCTTCGGCACACCTGGAATGAAACTTAATAGTCGCCGATCCTTGTCCACATGTTAAAGTTTGGCACGCGCGTTACCATGACAGCACGTACTGGAATGGACAAACAAAGCACGACATATACATACGTATATATATACTTTTTTAGCCAAATACACTTTGGCATTAACCGATTAAGGGCTAAAGTCTACAAGACTAGTAGAAATATCACTGAAACCGCACAAAAATGCAAACAAATATATAACTTCAAAAAATGAAACTATTAAACACGAAATCGCTTGCAGTCAGTGAGTATAATGAACACTTTCCTTAGGTACCCAAATTCACAACCATGCTGAAATTACTGTAGCGTAAATTTAACGACTTCTAATGGTCAATGACTTCCTGAGTCACGACAACGACCAGGTGTTTCTGAATATATACCACACACTCAGTTTGGTCACCTGAGCATAACTATAAAACAGTTCACAAAAAAAGAAAAAGAGTGGTGATTGGTTGTTTAACAGTCAAATGAAAACTGAAAACACTGGCCGTTGGTAGAAATATTATTTTTAGGGATTGTAGATTTATTAACATAACGAATATTGAACACTATAGGTTTGTTTGTTTGTTTGTTTG